ATTCTCAGATTCATGCTGGACCTCTCGAAAATAGACGACCTTTTTTGATAAAGAAAATCCAAATCGATAATAGGATCAGATGAAATCCACAGGCTAACGGAAACACGTAATTCAATCATCGTGTCTGATGGTACTCTTTAAAAAAAAGCATACTAAAAAGTACTATGAAAAAAATTATCAGTTTGAAAGATCATAGAGTCGCAGTTCATCCATTGTTCGTACAGCCAATAAACATTTATCTGTCAAATATTTTATACCGTATACGATGTCGTCATATTTAATAGTTGTTACTTTTTCACCTTTCTCGCTAACCACTGTAAATGTTTTTAAATAATTACAGATAACGATGGACTGATTATTTGGCAGACAGGCAATTGATGTTGGTATTTGTCCGATACGGATGTAATTTATCAAAGTAGTTAGTGATGCTCTATCACGTATTTCAAATCGATCGTTTACAGTGAGTACTACTCGAGTATCGTTTAGAAGTCGAATACATTTAATACGTTGTTCATCAGTATCGTAATCAAATAATGTCCATTTTTTAATTATTTTCCAATCTGTTAAACTACATTCTTCAACGATACTACCGCATGAATACGATGTAACTAATAAAGTTTGATCTCGACACGCGCATTTATCAAGACAGTCTTTTACTTTTACTATCTGAGGTGATTCCCATCTACAAGGATCAACGGTAAATATGCCTTTCAGACACAGAATAATAAATTTATTTAAGAATGAAGACCAACAAATATCGTATATACAACCATTTTTCCATTCGATATTTCGTTGTGTTGATCCGTTATAATCTATCAGGTATAATAAATCATTTTCATTATAAAGTATCAGGTCGTCTGAAGAACTTATGTGTCCGACATATTCATTCATACATAATACATTTTTTGGTTCAGATTTTAATTTCTCAAAATTAAAGTTGTGATGATTGTCTGATAGGACGCTAATCGGCTGTCGATTTTCATCGTTGTTCCCATTAATATTATCCATGTTCTACTAGTAAATTTGTTTAATATTTAAACTAGTCAAGAAAGACGGAGTGATGTCGAGGTTACTAAATTAACACGGATCTCTTTAAGTTCGGTTAATTCAGATTATGTAATTAAAATTCAGAACACAGAATCACTAGTGGCTGATATATTAGATCAGATTAAAATCAAAATTCGTCAGATTGAGAAAAAAACTTAATGATTCAAAATATTTATCTTATATATGGAAAAGGCAAAAAAGAGTGAAGCCCACATGTCAGACATGTAACTGACATTGAAACAACATGACAAATGTTTTCGTTCTGTCAATTTTCGCCTTAGCATGTTTGAACAATGATTCATGTTATTAACATTTATTCAAAGAAAAACCAGAGTGTAGCCCACGAA